TCATGAGTAAAATACAAGAGTACGATTTTTTAATCTTATTTTATGACATAGGCCAAGGAAGCTGCTCAGAATTGCTGACAATTGAAATGGCATGTAAGAACAGTAAATAAAATATTTCGGGTAGGAAAAAAATCCTGTCCAGAAATAGCAATGGGTCCAAAATGAGGGAAGTAGGTTCAAGCCACAAAAATTACATGGTGTCAATTGCTTACTGGACACAATTTAAAGTCTTGCTATTGCATTCGTTTTAAAGGGTTTAAGGGAAGCCTCTCTCACTACAACCTTCTTAAGATCTACTTAAGGTCTCTTTGGAGACCTTAAGGTCTCTTTGGACATGCCTCTATTAGCCTGTTAGCAAAAGGCTGGTCTTTGTGATATGAATTAAAAGATCCTGCCTTGTGTTGTTTCTGGGTAATGGAATGCACTTAAAGCTGAGTGTGTTTAGTTCTCACACTATTAGTGAAAAACAAATAAGACCACTGCAAAAATAAAGGGCAGATGGAAAGAGGCCAACATATGCAAAATCGGGGGACGGAGCAAGATGTACCCGCCCTGAGGCATAAAGAAAAATAAAATGCACAAAAGAGCTTTGTTTCTATAGGCTGGTTTTTGAATGACAGCAGGTGCTCTTTGTTGTTGTTGTTGTTATGTTTTCTAACTTCTTATTGCTTGTGGGGGACCTTTCTCTAGCTGCCCAGAGTCTTTAATTTGAGATAGAAAGCTTTTGGAATTCTTGTGATATGGCTCACATTCAGTTCTGCTTGGTTCAGTGAAACCAGTTGTGGTGTTTGGCTCCCACAAAGTGATCAGTAAAAACCATGTCTTTTTAGCCAGGATTTTAATAATTAAAGATTTTTAGAATGAAGGTTCTCATTAATTTGAACTGGAGTTTTTTTCTATTCTATTTTTTTCTATTTCTATTTTTTTCTATTTAAATTTCCATGAATATTTATCAGAATAAGAAGGTAGAGGAATCAATTGGATATAAGGGATGAAATAGAAGAAAAATATGCATTAGCAAATAATATGGTGAAATTGTGAGTAAGATACAATAGTATGATTTTTAATCTTATTTTATTACATAGGCCAGGGGTCCTCAAACATGGACCGGGGGGCGGATATGGCCCGCCGAAGCCATTAATCCGGCCCACACAGGACCACAAGGCTGCCCTGCCCACATCGCCCCACCTACCCGCCAGTCCCCACCTGCCTTCTGGAGGCCGAGGAGACCAAAAATGGGATGGGCGGAGGCCAAAAATGGGCCCATTTTTTGGCGGCAGAGTGGTTCTGGAGGAGTAGGAGGTCAAAAACGGGCCCGTTTTTGGCTTCCCTGGCCTCCAGAGACAAAGGGGGAGGGAGAGAGAGAGAGAAAGACACACACACACACACACACACACACACAAAGAGAGTGAGTCCCTCACCCTCCCCACACGGCAGCCACATCCATTCACTAACCTGATTTCCACTCCCAGGAGCATAACAAATTAAAGTTTAAAATTAAAGTTTAATTTGTGTGTATTGTTTAATGGACTGCTAAATTGGCCCTGCCCACCCAGTCACATGACCACCTAGCTACACCCACCCAGCCAGTCTGGCCCCCCAACAGTCTGAGGGACTGTGAATTGGCCCCCTGTTTAAAAAGTTTGAGGACCCCCGACATAGGCCAAGGAAGCTGCTCAGAATCACTGACAATTGAAATGGCATATAGTCCAGTCAATAAAACATTTCACGTAGGAAGAAAAAAAACTGAACTAAATGCCAGTTTCTGGGGGAAAAAACATCATAAAACATCAGTCCTGTGATCATGAGGTGCTGCAAACAGTCATAAATGAGCACCACCTCAGAGCACCCAAAATGCAATCATGTAATTGCAAGGGAGGCCTGGGTGTTGTAACTTCAGAACTGGGTCATAAAGAGCTTTTGGAAGTCTGTTCTAACTTTGACCAGTTACTAAGCATTAGTCAAGGGCTATTTGTATTCCATAAGGCAGGTTCACAAGTTTAGGATCGGTTTTGTTTGCAGTCTATGTTTGTAAAAACATGAAAAATAACTTCCCTCGACAATTTGAAGTCTCTATGTCCTATTTTTAAATATTGCTTTTGAAGGGTCCATGTTCTATTTGCAAATGGGTTTTTTTTATAGTTCTTTCAGATATGAAATTTCTAACATAGAGAAAGGGCACCAGGATGTTGATGAATATATTATCTTCTAGAGACAAAACTGACAGGGTATTTGCAATGCAACCTCTGTGAAGCTATTACTCTGCCTAAAATAAAAAGTCACCGTGACAGAGGTGCTAATTAGTTAATCTGAACTAACTTTCAAGGTAGGCTGGAAAAGATCCTGGAAGATGGAGAAGTTAAAAGGGCAAGAACATAGACATTTGGTGATTAAAGAAAGTTGGCAATTATAAATAGGACGGTAAGAACTGGTAGAAGCATAGTTGGAAGACAGGTGTGAAGGAAGAAGGAACAAGGAAAAGGAGGCATAGAAAAATTAATGAGAAGGTACTGAGCAAATATTACTGTGGTTACAGTCAGATCTTGCAGTGAAAAGGAAATTGAAATGCTAAAAGGATGATCTGAGAAGGGGAAAGGCCCAGTAGATGGAGACAACAATGGCTGGAGGTGATCACGATAACGAAAGGAAAATCCAAGGTAGCCTACAGAAACTCTCCTATAAGGTTGTAAGGTCCCAGGAGTTTCCCAGAGCCACCAAAGAGAATGAGACTCGAGACGAGACTTGCAAAAAGTAATAGCTTTTTATTTATGGTCAAAGTAAAAAGACTGGGTGAATACTATAGCTGAAACACACAGATAAAATGCATGTAAGGAATAGCCACACCGTTGCGAGAGTGGCTCAGAGTATTATATACATTTTACCCCATTAGAAACAAAGTCTACCCAATCAAAGACAAAGGTTCGTTACCAATGTGGTCTTTAAAGCGTTCTTTGTTTAGGCCCCTGTCTCTATCCACCTTATCTATGGAGCATTCCTATAGGGGAAGTTTCCCTCCCTGGCCAACTTGTTTATTCAGCAGAATGCTTTCAGGATTCAGAATCTATTAGGCAGGAAACTCCCTACTCTGGTTCCTTTATCTATAGGGGGCCTGATATTCCTGGGTAACAGTTTCTTCTATATTTTCAAGCATGTGCCTAGCTTTGAAGCCAAGAACAGAAGCGAGATAACAAACTTTGCAGTAATGCCAATCAGTATCAAGGCTACAATAAGCTAGAATTAGTTCCTAACAACTAATTTCTGATAGTATACAATAATATGAGCAGACGCCAATAACAAAGCTTAATTCCTAATAAATGATTTCTAGCAGTATATCATATCAGAAGCAAACAGCAAATATTGGTTTGATCACTATGGTCCTTCAAGGTCATAACAAGCAATCCCCAACAAAGTCAACAGCAAAGAAAGGGCATGAAAGCCACAGAAGGACTACACTTCCCCTTCCCCAGCATAGTGTATAAGGACTACAATTTCTATCATTCCTAGTTACTATGGTTTATGGCCATACTGATCGAGAACTGTAATCCAGATTCATGGAGATATCCATCGTATTAAGCAAGACTGATATATGCAACGTAAGAATTATTTATGTTTAGTAGTAATTACATAGAAGGACAATTTTGTCCTGTTGCGATTATTGCTTCTTGCTGCATCAGTCCTGACAATTGCTTCTATGATGCACTATTTTTCTGCATGGATGTATTTTTTATATGAGGAAGTATTTTTTAAAAAATCGGTCCTCTGCTGCTACTCTGAAAGAAATGACAGATCCTATGCTAATTTTTTTCCTTCATGAAAACACAAATGTTTTATTCTCCCTTTGTATATTTGTGTATACATGCACTGATGCATTGCATGAGAATGACAGTTTATGACTGATCCATATCTAGTGTTACAAAATAAATGGTCTGAAAACTAGGATTGATAAATCTAAATAAATGCAATTTTGATTTAGTGCAATATGTGGATCTTGCTATTATTTTTCAGTGGAATATTTGATTTAACTGCTAGGACACAGAAGTGAGGACACACACACACACACTTTTTCATGATGAGATTCAGACTTTCTAGCCATCAGCACTTGGCCAGTTGTGAATGTATTAAAGTTGCTTCATATTTCCTTAAAATTTGATTTCGCAATCCCTCAAGAATTAATTAGAAAACTTTTAGTGTTACTGTGAACATTCAACATCAAGGTTATTAACTTTCTAATGCATAAATCTTACAATAATTTAAATTGGCTGCCTTTAGGCTTTGCATTAATTTTATTTTATTTGTTTTTCCCCTTCAGAAAGGTAAGCATTAGAAGGGATTGTATTAACTACAATATGACAAGTTTTGCAATAGGACCAGCTCTTGAGCTGTTCACCTACTTTCTTAAAAAAACGTTTACTATGGTTCATTAAACAAACGAAAACTTCATCACAGCAAGGGGATTTAGATTAGATTTTTTTTCCTCCTTGCTTGAAAGACTCCATTGACGAAATAGCAGGAGCTGCCAAATCTATATTCCAACAGGTTGTCCAGAATAAAGAATGTAACCATTTCATTCTGAGATGCAATTTTTGCAAATTAAAATTATTTCTCCACGCTCCCTGCCACTCCATCATGCCTGAAGAAGATGGATGAGCTTCAGCCTAGTCGAAACCCTATGCTGTCCCAAACATCATACGCTAAACAGCATCTCCTTAACCTGGAGTTTGGGGGTGTGGGGGCACCTACAACTCAAGCTGTTGAAGTGGACCTGTGTCATCCACAGCCTGTTCACTTTGCAAAGAAATGGCATTTCAGTAACTGAGGAGATCTCTGAGGTACAGATAGAAAAAAGCGTGGTTGGGTTTTTGTTTTTTTTTTTTCTTTCAGAAAATGAATTCATAACCCAGCAGCTCAGGAGACAAGATAGGCTGACAGCAATCCAAAGAGATGATTTTGATCTCATCCCCATCCACCCTCACCCAAGTATTTGGAAGCTTCTCACTTACCCAGAATGGGGATGATTCATGCTTACAGAATAGCTCTTTTTGGTGTGGGGAGGATGCACTGGAAACCCAAAGGGCAGCTTTGGGGCGCTAACAGGCTGGATGCTTTTTAAATGAGAACCTTCATTCTCAGCGCCTGGAGGCTGCGCTGCCTCGCCTCGCCTCGCCCCGCGCCAGACAGAGCCCGCACCCAGCTGATGCCCTGGAGGGAGGGGAACCCGCACCTCACCTCGCCCCCACCCCCCCTCACCCCCCCTCCCCTCCAGCCTCCTGCATCAACGCAGGTCTTCGTGTTGCTAAGGGAGGACCACGTGGTGATGCTTTGAAGGAGGTGGGCGCAAAGGTCTCCCTTGACCCAATGAATTGGGAGGCTGCGCGGGCTCTCCGCGCTGATAGGGGAAGCCGAGCTGTCCGTTTCTGCCAGTTGCCAGTTCCCCGGGCTCCTGTAACCCGACGCTGACAAGTATATGGGGAGAGGGAGAAAGAGAGGGAGAAGCAGAAGCGAGCTGTTTGTACTGTCCTTGCGCAATGCTCCAGCTTGACTTAGAGCGAATACGTAGAGGTGCTATGCTCGAACGTGAAGGCTGATGGCGTTAGGATTCTCCCTGACGGGGTTAAGGTAAAGGATGGCCAGCCGTTCCCTGAAAATGAAAATTATTTAGGATCCCCCCCACGGAAGGATCAGGCCAGACCTGTCATCAAGAGCTTGACTCTTCTAAACTCAGATCCCTTGAAATCTGCGAGGAAGTGACCACTTGCAGGGTGCAGCTTCCACAGTCGCAGAGGTAGGCGCCTGCCTCTAAGGTATTTGCATCCCCCCCAAAAAGCTACAGAGTTCAGTAAAGAGGCTGGAAAGAAAGGGAAAAAAACGCTGTATGCATTTAAAATTCGGTAAACAGAGCAGAGAAAATCCCAAGCACACCTTTATTCCGACTGCAGTGCAAAAGGCGATTCTTTCACCTGCCCTGCTTTTAAAATTACACCTTGTGGCCAACTTGAGTATTTTCTCCTTCAAGGTAAAGTTTCAGTGCTGAACTCATTTAGCTTAGTTACCAAAAAAGAAAAAAAAGAAAAAAAGCATTTGTAGAAAGGAACATGGTTGAGATGGATAGAATCATCACACCCAGGTTAGAGATTTTCCTTTCTGCTCATGGTCCTAGAACTAGAAGTGTCAGATGAATCAAGAGAGAATAAAAGGAATTGTTTCTTGTCACTGAACACGCTGGCTGATCTTGAAAAATTAAACAGAGTTGGGTTTCATTAATACTGGGATGGGAGACCACTAGGAAATCTTAGAACTATAAGCCGGACAAAGCAGTAAAAAAAACCCCTTCCATAAGTAGGAGAAAAACTTGTTCTATAGTGATCTCAAGAAAACAACTGGGATTTGCATTTGGGGGTTCCATCTGGAAAGGACTTAAAAGGGGCTATTGTTTAATATACAAGTAGCAATGGCTACATACTTTGATGATTTTCAAAACAATGAAGCATATTCAATGATGAGACCTCTACCTATTGTTACTCCCGATAATTAAACAAAATGTACACAGACCATGTACTATGAATGCCAGGGACTGAAGAACGACATCAGCCTTTTTTTATAGGCTTTTTGAAGGTGTCTAGTTAGTTCTCTAGTGTGACGTAGTAATTAACTGTTGGACTAGGAGGATCCGGGTTCAAGTCCAACCTCAGCCACTGGAATTCACTGAGTGATTTTAGACTGGCCACCTCTTGCATAACTCAGCTGAGCAGACATATATATACAGGGAGTCCTTGTTTATTGACTGCTTCATGAAGTGATTGTTCAAACAGAGGTGAACCCCCCCCCCACACTACAGTTAATCCTAGACATACGACCACAATTGAACCCAAAATTGCCCCATTTTCTGACCTTTCTTGCCACAGTTGTTAATTGAACTACTGCAGTTAAATTAGTAACACGGTTGTTCAATGAATCTGGCTTCCCCATTGAGTTTGCTTGTCCACAAGTTCACAAAAGATGATCACATAACCCTGGGACACTGCAATCATCATCGATGCTAGTTACCAAGTGTCCAAATTTTGATGACGTAACCATAGGGATGCTGTAAGTGTGGGAAAATGGTCATAAGTCACTTTTTTCAGTGCTATTATAACATCCATCACTAAATGAACTGTTGTCAGTTGAGGACTACTTGTGTTTTGTTTGTTTAATTTTACTTTGCGACAGTCTTCACATTTACAGCCACTGCACCATCCCTTGGTCATGTCAGCCATTTGTGCGATTTTCAACCAGCTTGTGTCAGCAGAGTTAATGGAGAAGGTGGAAGTAAAATTGTAAGTCGCAATCACAATTGCTACCAAGTGGACCATGTCACTCCAATTAATGACTGAAGGGGAAGTAAGGTCATAAACCAGGGGTGTCAAACACAAGGCCCACAAGGCTGAATTCGGCCCACGGGGTGCTTAGATCTGGCCTGCGGAGCCACCAGTGAAGACCGGCCCGCGGTGCCTCTTGCCAGTGAAAACGGAGCTCAGGGGGCCTGAGCGTGACCATCCCGAGCTCCGTTTTCAGCTGTGACGGCCTATTGCAGAGCTCTGCCAGCAAAAATGAAGCCCGTGAGGGCCACACACAGCAGTGCTAGCAAAACAGACTACTAGCAAAAGTGGCATATGATCACAGAAGTATCATGGAGCTGGCCACGTCCAACCCTCGAGGTCAAACAAAACCCTGATGCGGCCCTCAATGAAATTGAGTTTGTCACCCCTGTCATAAATCTATCGCAGTCGTCTGATTTTTCCATTTAGTAACTATAGTGCTTAGCAGTTGAGTTGCCAGTCACAATTGTGGTCACCAAAAAAGGGCTGCTTTGTATAGGCTTCGATTCCTCTGTTTAGCAAAAAGTAGATCTTCTCTTAGTTTCTTTCTTAACTGCGATAAAAAAAAAGACCTCTAGCAAGATTGTGACAATTCTAGCTGTTACCTAACATGGGATATAGAGTGGACATTTACTGTAAATCTTGACAGGGATGAACTGGATAGGGCATAATACATGCCTATGTGGAGACCCAGTTCAAAGGGGTATGTAGTTAGGAATATAGTTCATAAAATGGACACACTGCAATTTGTCACATTGGTAGCTGTGCAGCTATATATCATATTTTTCAGAGTATAAGACGCATCATTTTTCCCCCTAAAAGGGGGTGAAAATTTAGGTGTATCTTATACACCGAATGTAGCCCCGCCCACCCACTGGCCCCCATCCTTTGGCCTCTGCCTCCCAGCAGTTTACCTCCTTGCAGCAAGCAGTAAGAAGGAACAGCTCATTTCAGCATCAGCACAGCCTAATTAGCACAAGTTGATTGGATCGGCCTCTCGACTCTCAGCTGTTTTACACGGGTGTCTGCTGCTTGCTGCAAGGAGGAAATTTGCTGGGAGCAGATTTTTTTTTTCCTTGTGCTAATCAAGCTATGCTGAAAACAAAAATGAAAGTAAAGCAGGCTATTTGCTGTTTGCTGCAACGAGGCAAAATTGCTGGGAGGCAGAGACAGATTTCTTTTTCTTCTTTTCCTCACCAAAAAAGGTAGGTGCGTCTTATAGTCCGGAGCGTCTTATACTCCGAAAAATACGGTAAATTTGATTTTTAAAACAAAACAGATCCCAAAAGTCTCTGATACACTTGAAATGGAGCAAGATTTCAGCTCTGCTCCCAGTTCATCATATGCAGGCCCTTTATGTAACTAAGCAATCTGCATTTCCAGTCTGATTCACAAACACTGGAATGCCTGCTTGTTAATATCTTATTGACAAAAGATGCCATAGAGACTTAGTTTCAATTGCCAGAGAAGCCTATTGAACACTAAAATCTATATTTGGAAGCTTCTCTAACTCACAATTATACAGTTGGAATGGGGAGGGAGATGTACAGGTAGTCCTCAACAATTCATTTAGTGACCAAAGTTACAATGGCACTGAAAAAAGTGACTCATGACCATTTTTTAGGACCATTGCATCCTTCCCATGGTCACATGATCAAAAATTGGATAATTAGCAACTGGCATATATTTATGGTGGTTGCAGTGTCGCGGGGTCATGCGATTACCTTTTGTGACCTTCTGACAAGCAAAGTCAATGGTGAAGCCAGATTCATTTAACAGCCATGTTACTGATTTAACAACTAGCAGGGATTCACTTAACAACTGTGGCAAGAAAGGTTGTAAAATGGGGCAATACTCACTTAGCAACAGAAATTTTGGGCTCAGTTATGGTCGTAAGCCAAGGACTCCTTGTGCAGCTTTAGAGATGGAATTCACACAATAGCCCCCTTTCTGTTTTCCATGTTGATATATCCTTAATGGGATTAACATATATTAAAAAATCATATTTTAATATCTAGATAAAAGGCCAGGTATGCTGTCCCAAATGACAGGAAAAAAGTATAATATAAATATATCAAATGCCACATCATCAGGAAAGAGAATAAGTGAGACTGGAGTACAGTCAGTCCTTGATATATAACCATAACAGAGTTTGCCCATTACCATTGCATGTCATGTCCGCCCTGAGTCCTTCGGGAGTAGGGCGGTATATAAATAAAATAAAATAAATAAATAAATGACGGTTGTAGTACGAGTCAGTCACACAACCCAATTTTACATCCTCCTTTGTGACAATTGTGGTTCGTTGTCTGAAAAATGAAAGTAAGTGCTGGTTTTCAGCAAAACCATTGTAAAATGCAGTTGCGTGACTACAGGATGCTGCAAACAGTTATAAGGGCGACCATGTTGTGAGGTGGACAAAATTCAGTCTCATAATTGCAGAGGGAGCCCAACCATCAGAACTTCCTATCCAGGTCATAAATCCCCTTTTTCAGGTCGGTCATTGCTTTGAATGGTTACTAAGCAACCGATCATAATTCAAGGGCTATGGGTATGTTACTTGGAATCCTGACAGGCTTCCCGTAATATAGCTGAAATGGCACTAGAAAATCACATGTATTTATAAGATCAACATGTCTATAGAACAAGAATGGGAAACTGGTTTAGCAGCCATTGTTACAAGCATGTTGTTTCTCGACAATACGTTTATGGTGGTTGGACTCATAAATATTAGCTCAGCAATCACAGAATGACAAAGAAAATATTGGAGGACCAAGAATACAGATAAGATTTGTATTTTGTGTACTTGGCAACAGGGTG